TTTTTTTTTTTTTTAACATATAATGTATTATTTGTTTCAGAGGTACAGGTCTGTGATTCAAATAAAAAATCTTTAAGAAAACAACAACAACAACATGAGCCTTTTTGGGTTAAGTGATTGGGGTGGAAACATTTCTAGATGTGAAAATACAGGCTGCTCAGGGGCAGGGGGTGGCCGAAGAAAAGAGTGTGTGATGAAGTAGGGGAGCCTGGTTGATCTGCATGAAGGTCAGAGGCTGTCAGGAGGAAATGCTTGAATGTTTGGTGCTGGGATGGGATGAGGACATGAAGAAGATAGGTCCGTAGCCTGGAGACTGCCCTCAGGAAAGAGCCAGAGTGATTCCGTGACACTTGGTGGCACAGGCCTGTGTGGCTTGCTCAAAAAGATGAAGCCCAGGGCACTCTGTCCATATCTGCTGAGGTCCCAGAGCTGGCCCAGCGCCTCTTAGACCAGGATCCTTTGGGCATGTCTGCCCAGCCTGTGGACCTGCAGTGCTCCTTTATCAGGAGATTGTCCCCTTCTTTGAAGCCATGGCCGTGGTCCCCAGCTGCTGTGCTTATACTGAATCTTCTCCTCCCCTGGCTTGGCTGATTGACTAGGATGGACATCATTAGACTCAAGAAGGCTAATCAAATCACCAAGCCTTGAAATCTGCAACAGGCAACAAGGAGTGGCTGTCATACCCTGAGAGTGGCTTGCCCTGGGATACTTAAACTCAGGAGCTGTAGTGAGAGGCTGTGGAGAAGGGCAGTTGCTCTGGATACAAAGCAAGAAGACCAAAGGGGAGATGCAGTTGAAAGCCGCCACGAGAGACAGAGGACGCTTATGGACAGCTTTCCGCCTTTTAATTCCAGCTCCTTCCTGAGACTCAGATGCCTTTCTGCCTTTGGACTCTGTGAAACACCCCTATACCTCTGCCGTAAATTCCTCTTTGCTGCTTAAGCTGGCTTCAGTTTGTTATTTATTGCAACTAGAAGAATCCTAATACAATGGCTCCTATTTTTTTTTTTTTCTGGCAGGCTTAGTGTATGTCAAACTCTGTTCTAGGTGTTTTACATGTATTTTATTATTTAATTCTCCCAGCCACCCTGTGAGGAAGATAACATTAGTTCCAGAAAACTGCGGCACAGAGGAATTAGGTCACCTGCCCGAGATCACCCAGCTAATAAGTTGCAGAGCCAGATCCCAAGCTAGGCAGGCTGGCTCCAGAGCTCACAGTCCTAACTACTGTACTTCACCACCTCCCTTGATACAGACGTCAGGGTTCACGCTGTAGATGGCCACTTTGTCGATAGTGATAAGGCACAAGCAGCTTTCTGGGTAATGACGACACATTCATGAGCTCACAACACTTGTGGTTATTATGTGCCAGGTAATATTCTAGGTACTAAAGACATATTGGTAAATAAGATAAAGACTCCACCCCTATGGTGGTTATATTTTGATGGTGAGAGTGTTAGGCAAACAAAGAAATGAAAAAAAGTATAACAGTGATAGAAAGTGAAAAGGAGACGAATGTACTTTAGTTTGGGCAGTCCAGGAAGGCCTCGGTGGGGGGCAGGGGCCTGGGTGGCGCAGTCGGGTGAGTGTCCGACTCTTGGTTTTGCTCAGGTGGTGGGATCGAACCCTGTGTCAGGTGTGGAGTCTGTTTGAGATCCTCTCTCGCTCTCCCCCTGCCTTTCCCAGCCCCTCTCTCTCTCTCAAATAAATAAATAAATCTTTAAAAAAAAGAAAAAAGGAAGGCCTCTGCGGGGAGATGAGCCTTGACATTCAAGAAGAGCCAGTCATTTTGAGATCTGGGAAGAGGGAGTTTTGGGCACAGGTGCAGCAACGACAGAATCCTTGAGGTGGAAATGCACATGGCACATTAGAAGGAAGAAGACCAGTGCTGCGCTGGGGTAG